CTGTCGCAGCAAGAAGGATGACGACAGGAAGAGGGGCAGAGGCCCAAGAGACGGCGGCAGCATCACGCTAGCTGTTGGTGAAGGAAGAGGTCGCAACGGCTCGTGCGCCACTGGTCAAAGCCTGGCGATGGCGATTGGTGACGACAGCGATGACGAAGATGACGACTGGATACTCGATAGCGGTTCCAGCCGCCACCTTGTGAACGACGCATCCCTGATGCGCGACGCGAGGGACTGCGATCAAGAGTGCCACTTGGCAGATGGGGAGACCATCAAGTTAACGCAAGTCGGAAGCGTCGTGCTGACTGTACTCGCGAGAGGACAGCAGCAAGATGTGACGCTGACGGACGTGTATATGGCGCCCGAGTTATCGCGCAACATCATGTCTTACAGTAAGCTCGAATATAAGGGTTTCGGGCTCGTCTACGACGGCGAGTCGCGCGTGTTGGTACGACGCAGCAATGGCCAAGTCGCGTTCGATGTGGCGATGGACTACAATGTGCTCTAAGTCCAGACAGTCGCAGCGGCTCGCGAGCGACGAGCGCCTAGCGACGTGCTCATGGCGATCCTGACGAGCCAGGCAGCTCCGGAAGAACCCGAGTCGGACACGCAATGCGGCTCGCTGCTGCACTTCCACCAAAGGCTTGGGCATCTCGAGTACGACACCGTCGAGCGTATGGCGAGATACCCCGCGTCCGGCATCGTGCTAACGGATCGCACGCGCCCGACGTGCATCTCTTGCTCACAGGGAAGCAAACAAGGAACGTGCAGTCGAAGAAGGACACTGGATCAAACTCGCCGATCGACAGAGTTGGCGGGGTGATCTGCTCAGACCTCAAGGGTCCGATGACCCCAAAAGATCGATTGCACAATCGTTACCTTGTCAACTTTGTCGATCACAAGTCGAACTACTGTCGCGTTTTCCTGGCGCCTACAAAGGACAAGGCGGTCAAAAAGTTTAAGCACTTCCTTGCGCTCTTTGAGCGCCAGTTCGACTGCCGGATCCACGTGCTACGCACTGATGGCGACGGCGAATACGCGAATGTCGACCTCTTCTGCAAAGCGAACGGGCGTCGCGCGGCAGATCAGCGAGGCGAGGAATCAGGCGTCAAACGGCAAGGCCGAGCGCATGCACAGGACGATCCTGAACATGGCGCGCAGCATGATCTTTGCCAACCGACTGCCATTGACGTTTTGGGGCGATGCGGTTGAGTACGCGGCGTACATCCTCAACTGCAGTCCAACGAGCGCGAATGCGAAGCGTGCGTCGCCGATAGAGGTACTGACGAAGCAAGTGCCGGATCTGCGCGACATCGTCGCCTTTGGCTCTATCTGCTCGGTCTAACGTGACCCAGGCAAGAACTCGCTCGCGCAGCGCGCACAAGTCGGCGTGATCATTGGGCGGAGCGATGAGACTAAGAGTTTTCGCGTAGGAGAACAAGGTCACGATCACGCAGCATGTGCGCAATGTCGAGACGCTCAGCGCAGAGCAGAATGGTCAGCTGCAGCGCGCGCTCGAGTATAGAGATCAAGCCGTGGAGCCAGCGGCACCATCAACAACAAGAAAAGAGTCGCCGGCTGCTGACGATGCCGCATCGCCGACGATACGCAGCGGCAAGAAGAAATCGAAGTCGTGGACACGCGCGGCTCACCGGACGCGCGGCGCAACCAAACGCGCACAGGCGGCCGTCGATCAGGAGGAGCCAGCTGGCGACGACAGCGTGGCGGCTCATGTGTATGAGTGCGATCCCAAGAACTACGGTGAAGCGCTACGCAGCACTAAGCGTGAAGGCCGGGAAAAGGCCATGCGCGAAGAGCTCCAAGCCCTAGAATACAATGGCGTGTGGCGCTTGATCAAGCGACTTTCGGGCAGCAACACTCTGCACACGGAGTGGGTCTTCAAGACCAAGACCGACGCGCACGGTGAGATAGAGCGCTTGAAGGCTCGACTGGTCGCCTGCGGCAACGAGCAAGTTTTTGGGGTCGACTACCAGCTTACATTTGCGGCTGTCATGGACATGTCGACCGTGAAGGTGATCTTGGCGCTTGCGGCGATATGAAGTGTCCCAGAAAAGCATGGTGACATCCCCAACGCGTATGTCATGGCTGACAAGGAAGAGCACTTGGAGATACTACTCCAGGTGCCGCAGGCAATGACAATCGATCAAGACGCACTCAAGATGGTAGGCCCAGCGACAAAGAAGGAAGTAGTGCTGCAGCTACGAAAGAGCCTTTACGGCCTCAAGCAGGCTGGCCGACTCTAAAGCCAGCTCCTGCACGCTCGGCTGCTCGAAGCCGGCTTCCGGCAATGTATTTCCGACATGTGTCTATACTACCAAGTCGAGGGTGAACAGTTGGTCATCGTGGGCGTCTACGTCGACGATCTACTTGCTACCGGCACGGATGCTGCGGCCGTCGACTGATTCTCGTCAAGCTCGGCAGCTTGTCGATCAAGGAACTCGGTACCGTTAGCAAGCTCCTCGGCATGCGTGTCACGATTGATAACATTGGCGGCTACGTGCTCGACCAGGCCGAGGCGATCGGCGAGCTCCTGCGTGAGCTTGGGCTCGAGGATGCAAACCCGACGAAAGCACCAATTGAGTCTGACTGCTACGACGTGCTACCAGATGACAGCGCGCTGCTCACCGAGACTAAGGTGCAGAAGGCGCCAACAATCAAGAGGTTCCAGTCCCTCGTCGGCAGTCTTCTGTGGATCGCGCGTTGCACACGGCCGGACATTGCGTTCGCCGTGCACAAGGCGACGCGTCAGACTCATCAGCCGCGACTCCACGATATGAAGCTTGCCAAACGCATCGCGCGGTACCTGAAGGGGACGCGTGACTACAAGCTTCGGATGGAACCAGCGAAGCACCTCGACGGCAAGATCCAGCTCGAGGCTTACTCGGACGCCGACTTTGCGGCGGAAAAGAGTGACCGGAAGTCCTTGACTGGCGGCATCATCCGCCTGAACGGCATGCCGGTCAGCTGGACGTCGAAGAAGCAAGGCGGCGTCTCGCTCTCGACGATGGAAGCGGAGTTCGTCGCTGCATCGGAGCAGGCGCGCGAGCTTCTTGGTATCAAGAAGATGCTAACCGAGATCGGTAAGCCGCCGGCGCTACCGATGGTACCCCACGTCTAAAATCAGGCGGCACTGAAGCAGCTGGCAGGCGAGGCGTCATCTCTCAAGTCCAAGCACATCGATGTTCGCACGAAGTACTGTGCGACTTCGCTCGACGCGGGATCATCGTGTCGCAGAACGTCCGCTCGGAGCAACAACTCGCGGATCTTTTGACGAAGGCGCTGGATGCAGTCAAGCTCGCGGCGCTGTGTGAGATGATCAGCCTCGGTTAGGACGGTAAGTCGTAGCCGAGGAGGAGTGTTAGAAAATGGCACGGTTTAAGTTACAGTTGAGGAAACGGCTGACGACTTAGAAAGGCGTTTGAGGATCAGTTGAGTGATTGATGGACAGGTGCGTGGATGGGTGATTGATTGGACAAGAGTGATGGAGAACAAGAACAACTAGTCCATCATGCTAGCACGAAAAAGATAACACTACAAACAATTTCAGAATCCTTTTTTTATCACAGTGCCGCCGACTTCCTCTCTACAGCTTGATGCACCTTTGTCGAGTGTGACAGAACCGTCACAAATCGACAAAGGTGCATCAACTGACCGAGTTAGCATTCGCCGCATCTTTCTGTGCTAAGTGCTCAGCCTAGTGCTTCATGGGGGGAGTATGACATGCCAGTTAGTATGACGAATGGTTGATGACACGCCAGTTGGTATGAAAGATGGTATCTGACATGCCACTGTTGACAGGTTATGACAGCACGTTAGTTTAAGCACAATAGGACTTATGGTTTTTAATTAATTCATTCTCATTTTTACCTGCATCTCCAAAAGCCTCTCCAGCAAGTTCTCGGAGCCGATTGCCCCTCTGCCTTCCAAGAAGCGCCCGTTTACAGGTAAGCAGATCCATCCTGCGAACTCCATGAACAAGACAGGCTCCAGCCTCATGCTGAAAGACCTTATGCCCCTGGCTTTTTCTTAGTTTTACCTGTGCTTGAAGGTATGAGACACGCCGCCTCCTTGTTTTCCTTGTGCTAATATGGAAAGCTTTGTACATTTACTGCTATTACAGTGTCTTGCTTACCTAGATAGTTGAAGATGTCGCAAAGATGGAGCAGGAGCTGAGAGACCAGCTGGAGCAGATGCGTGTTAGGGATCCTATGACGATTTCGGAGCTTCTCGATGTTTTCCCATCAGAAAGGACAGACTGTCCAGCCGTAGTTGACCGAGAACGAGATTTTAGAAGAAAAGAGGAGAGCCAGAAGGAGGTTGAAAACTTATTAATAATTTATTATTTTTGATAAAATAAAATATTATTTTTTAATTTTAAAGATAATAAACCTAAAGATGTCTCAACAAAGATTGTTTTATTTTTATTAAAAAAATTATATTTAGGAAAAATAAAAATTTTATCTATAAAAAAAGTTTAATATTCCCTAAAGGACTTTTTAATACCTGCTCCCTGCTCGATTCATTCTAGGAAAGTCACTAAGCTGCTTACAGAGTATCTGTGACCTTCAACTTGACATTCGCAACGCACAACACGACTCAACTGTCCTCGGTTTGTGGTTGGAGTAGGATATCTATTCCAAAAAAAAGAAACATACTCATTTTATAAAGTTGGATTGCCCTGGCTGATTATAACATATAAATTTAGAACCAGCTCGATAAACGCAAAATTGAATAACCTATCGAAGGTTATATAGTTTAGGAGCTATTTGGTATGGAGGGAGAGTTTTATTAGTAATGATTATAGTAAATGCAATTGTAATATCAAAAATAAGGAACGCAATCCGTGTGAGTTTAAAAACCTTATATATTTTTAGAGTTCAAAGTAGGTGGCTCACAAAAGAAGCTACGTCCATCCCAGAATATCAAAAGCATTTTTCGCCAGCCAGCCATTCCTCATTCATTAATACACGGCAACCGTCATGTCGTCACTTCGCAATGTCGTGAAGCGCCGGGAGCACAAGGAGCGCGGGCAACTGCACGAGCGACGAAAGCTTGGTCTATTAGAGAAGCACAAGGACTATGTGAAGCGTGCGCGTGATTACAATCAGAAGCAGAAACGGCTGACAACGCTGCGTCTCAAGGCAGCACTGCGCAATCCGGACGAGTTTAATCGCCGCATGGCCATTACAAGGACGGAAGATGGTGTTCACGTGTCTACACACAATCACATGAAACAGCTGGACACGGAGTCGCTACGGACATTGAAGACGCAAGACCTAGCCTACCTGCACATGAAGCGTGCCATGGACTTGCGCAAAGCCGAGAAGCTCAATCGAGGGCTGCACTTTGTAGATGCACCTAAAAGCAACAAACATATTGTCTTTGTAGACCATCAGCAAGAAGTGGATACTTTCGACGTGGCTCAACACTTCGATACGGCCCCGGAACTGGTGGACAGAGCCTTCAATCGCATTCGTAAACGGGATTTAGAAACGGCAGAGTTACCTGACTTTGCAATCAACCGGAAGCAGAAATACAATATGCAGGTGGAAAAGGACGCCATGTACAGAGAACTAAGAGACCGCTTGGCACGTGCTAAGAAGATTGGACTTATGAGCACTAAACTGGACTTGGAACGTAAAGTGCAGGCCAAAGGCAAGAAGATGAAGGTGAAAAATGCCGAGAACGGACTTTCTGCGGTATATCGCTGGAAGCAACAACGACAAAAGTAGAGACGGGATACGGAGTGATTCATACACATTTTTTAGTCGCTTATGTGCTGCAGTTTTAGGGTTGCTTAAGCCGTCCAAGATGAGCTACGTTGAGACTTTATGGTGGCCATAAGATTTGCGGTGTAGTAACGGGACAAAGTGCAAAATAATTTGCAATTGGTGGCGTAGAGGGGTGGCATGACGTAAAAAGGGGAACGACACGGTCTGAGCACATACCAGACTGTAAAGGTACCGGCGAACGGCCGATCTTTATTGCTCACATACCTTACTCTGCTGGACGACCTGCAGCACCTTGGTGATGTTGTACACGGTGTTGAGCGGTTGCTTGCTACGAGCACAATAATTTGCCTACTGTTAATTCTGTACACTTTGCGTGTGAGTCCTGCCTGGCACCATTGATATGGTGGCAAAGGGAATGTAAATTTAAAGTGATCAGCACCTGTTCAAATGCCACGCCGTCCGTAAAAGCCAAGATGTCTTCTGTGAGGTGGTTTGTATATAATACACTCAATGTTTCAGCATGCTAAGTCTCTTCTCGACATGCTTTTGTGAGAACTGGTGTCTTGTCATGCCTTGCCACTTCAAATAATGCATGATTGGCCTGCAGTGATGCCGCAAAGCCCGTAGGTAATCTCTCAATCGCCAATGAGCATCTTGCTAGGTACTACAGCAAAAGATGTTCTAACATCACGTTTCTTGGGCACATCCGTCACCAGTCACCTGTGGTATATTGAATTACACAATTGCCGAGGTTGCACTTAGCGTTGCTCCAAAGGCATCCTGGATCTGTAAGACAAGCCACCGAACGTACATGTCATTGTTGAGGTCATCAAAGTACTTGGCACGGGGCGACTTATTACAGGATTGACGTTTTCGACTGGTCGAGAAACAAAAACATTCAAAGCCACCGTTGCTGGTGCTGGCTTGGTGACTCTTTTCTTCGTCCCCCTTGGCTACACCACACGACACGCGCCGTCGCTCCGGCGACCGCCCCTTTTAGACAAACGGGCCGTTCGAGCGGCCTACCAGGACATAAACAACGGTACACGTTTGCTGCTATGCTGCATCAGCAATCCCGAGAGCGTCACCGCAGGTGGCCAGCCCCGTACAACCACCGGACCCAATCAAGCACCGGCGTTGCTAGCTAGGCTTAGGGCTACCAGACATCCTGCAACCCCTAAATGGTTAAGTAGACTCGTCTGCTTTTCTCTCTATTTACTCTTTTCACTCGTAAACTATATGTCGTTAAATTTCCGATATTTGTGAAAGGTTCGAAACAACATGTAGTATTGGAAAACTTGCTTTAAAGTGGCTGTCTTAACTGATACCTTCTCTAAACTGCTAAATCATTCTGGTCCCGACAACCTAATATACTTAAACTAGCCTCTAGTTATACGTACTTCACTTATAATTGTCTTAACGGATCGACGCCTACGACCCCGTCAAAGAATAATGATTGCGTCGCTTTCAACTTCCGATATCGTAGTTCGACTCGCCATGAGCATTGATGCAGAGCGCTCATTTCATCTAAAGTAGAACATTACGCATTCAATGACCCGATCGTGAGGATATCATCAAACACCATTGTTTGTCCCAAAATAATTTCGATCTCAAGACGAAGACAAACTCGCCATTAAACTTGAGTTGATTATGAAGTACGGATGATGATAGGAGAGAGCGAGGCCAGTAATGCATATGGTCTTGAAGGGGTATAGCCCAGAGCACAGCTGTCTTCTCAGCGTGACAAAAACGCTCCTCACCGACGTCAGGCTCCAGAAAAATGATGAAGCACTTTTTTCAACAAAGACTTTAATTTGACGTAATCTTCAACGACAAGGCGAAAATCCTTTAGAAAACTTGCCTCTACGTGATATCATTGGGACCGCAAAATCTCACTATGAAGTCTCACATGCAAAACGTGACTGACTTCGAGTCAGTCGCGCCGAAACGGCGACGTATTGCCAGCCCTGCAATGGGCCCACCTCCGCAGATGAAGCCTTGCGGAAGCGGTGAGCCTTACGGCAACAACTCGAGTATTTTAGAAGAAGGCGATCACGTGTGGGTCCCTCCGACAAACCAAAGTGGCGACGGACGCACCAAGCTGAATGACAAAGTACGGCGTCGAGACTTGATGACACTAAATTTACGAAATAGGTCTAAGAAATACTACAACAGCTGACAACTTGTCTTGACTAATAATTGCCTTTGGTTCGTAAGATATCACTTTAGCAAGTTCGTCTACATCGGCGGTTTCAGTTTAGAGTCGACCGAGCAGTATCAAGTTTTGTGTATTCCACAGGCTCATTCATAACTGCAGCTCTTACGCCATCGAGGTTGTAGCCTCAACTTTAGCACTGCAATTCGTCCCTTACTTGAATAGTAAAGTTGAAGATGCTGTCATTTGTTGAGTCCACGCAAAACGAGTGTTGTTGTCAAAAGAGATTAACGCAATTTGTTTGAAGTACGTCATTGAGCGCGATCGTACGTGCTGACGTATTTGCCCGCAGCATACGCTAATATCTTTCACAAACAAAACGGAGAAAAACCCGAGCCGCATCACTTCATTGCTTGACTGTCTCCCTTTTACACCCGCTGGCTATTAAACTCGCTGGCCATATTCATAACTCAAATCTTCTTTGCTCGAGAATAAACTTGGATTGTTCTGCTTGGAGAGTCGTTGCTGCAGCTCTGGAAATATTAAAGTTGCGCCTGGTCATTACGATGGAATGTTTACAGATGTTTATCTCAGCGTGATTGGTGCCAGATGGCATCCTTCATATTACAGCGCTGTCAAGTTGAAACAAAACTTAATGCAGCGTAAGGTTGCTTCCTGCAATTGCAATACTGCTTTTGATCAATAAAAATATCACTGATAGTGTGCAATGTACCTTGCAGTGTTCTATAATTTCTATTATTGCGAAAATGTACATGATACTGAGAGTTGAACAAGCTGTTTGTAGACAAATGGCATAATCAAATTAAACATGGACAGAGAAACAAACTTTAGCAGCTGACAAGAGCACGTATTTCTGGCTGTCATAGCCGTCCCCCACTTGGTAATGCCAGATGGAGAGCCACATTGATCAAACAGATGTGACATTCGGCAAGCATGAAACCTCATCACTCTTGACTTAGCAACCTAGCAAGCAAAAGGCTTTGGCCTGATCCGTCGACAATCAATAGACCATTAAAAACACGTTTGTTGTTGCGATGTCTCGACACCTCAGCTCGAAAGCAAGTTCGTCATGCTGGTACGCTATACTTAGCCGCCATTGTTCTTTACGTCTCGAACATCTTGTCATTATTTCGAAGCACCAACTAACGTCTCACTCGCTTCTTTCCTCACTATAGGGAATTCGACCTGCACGATAACGGTGGCCACTTTCCACTGCCGGATGATTATTTCCCGGAGATCCGCCTTACGTCCGAGGAGATTAAAGAGTATGAGTCGCATATGGAAAATATCGTTAAGAATGCATTGACTGAGTACGACCTGCATGAGGCTAAAGGGTTGCATCCCGTCTATGATGCGCCCTGGACTCTTGTGAGCAACGTGGAAGGTCTCACTACGATCAAGAAGGAGACACATGATAGCTCTACAACCAGCCGGGCTCGTATTTTTGGTCGCATAAACGGCGACTACCGCCAATTCATTGACTTCTTTTACGCTGAAACGTCGGCCGAACTATTTGCGTGGAACCAGTTCATGTTTGGATACGCTACGGACGCTGCTGTGCTCAAAACTATTCACACTGCAGCGTCCAAGGAAAAGTGTTTATACATGGGCATCAAGTGGACGTGTTTGAACCCGTTGCAGCTTGTCAAGAAGCGAGACAGTTGCTACATGGAGTATCTTATCTATACAAAGGATTTACGAGGACGCGACGTGGGCATTCGTGTGACGTGGCCGCTCGACATCCCTGAATGCCCGGAGCTGCCGAAAAAGCTCAAGACGAAGCGTGTCCGACTGAGCACGGTTTGGATTTCCAGACCTGCTGACGGCAAGCCGGATGTCACCGAATTCTTCATGCTGTCGGAGAATAATTTTAATGGTCTTGCCGTCACCGCCAGCTACTACAGGCGCATGATGAATATTCTCATGAGCATGGCGGTCTTCGTCGATTCGCGACGAATTTTGATGCAGGGAGTAATGGCGCGGAATAGTTGGGCGAAGTCTGATTCCCGCAAAAGTTGCAGCGTTTGCTCGCGTAAGTTCGGACCGACTCGCCGCCGCCATCACTGCAGACTATGTGGAGACCTTATTTGTCGACGGTGTGCTATCGTCCGTGACGCTCCCAAGGACGAGGGAGCAGACAGTACGTCTAGAACGTTCGAGATCGTCAAGACAAAGTTTTGCATTATCTGTGTGACGAAGATGCGTAAATCTGGTAACAACATGTTGGTGCCGGTACCTACACTGAGCGGCAAGTTATCCGTAACCAACTGCATGGATCTACAACTCGATGATTTTTGCAGCTCGACTATCTCTGAGACTGAGTCTGAAGACGGCCACGCTCTTAACTTTTCAGAGACGGGAAGAAGCAGACGAGCGCGACCACTGCAAGTGTTGGCACAGCCAGCTGCGACCTTTACTCAAAGTGGAGGCAAGGCTTCTTACACGTGTAAGCTTGATGTGATGGATGACCAGTCCTTTTCTATTCTATCGAATTCGAGTATGAACGCTTACGAGCTTAATGAAGAAGAAGTGGCGGAGGTTATTGACACGACCGATATGATGCCGATTTCGTCGCTCGACTTTATAAAAAGTGGGAACTTACCGAACGAAGAGACAATGACGAGCTTAGGTAGTGGCTCAAGTTGGCCTTTGTTTGATTCCAAGAGCCCCCCTCGGTCGCTCGATCAATGTCTCGCAGAGCAGGAAGAGCTGCTGTGCCGCATGATGCTTTCGGCGAGTGGAATACGCCGTCGGAACGCCGTTGAGGACTTGGAAACCGAATGTTGTGGCTCTTCCGTTAATTTCCAGTCGACCCGGTCGCGTCCCGATGTTACACTATATGGGGGCTAGCTGCAGTCGACAAAAACAAATTTAACCTAGAAGTGTAATCAAAGTTGTTGATACAACAGCTTCGCTTCGGCGAGTGAGCTCAATGTTGTAAGATTTTGGAAAATTATCTTGGGCCATAATGTCACACGACCAACTTGGTCTGTTTAAAGCTGTAGTTTTACAGAAGAACTTGCATAAAGTAATAAATACCCTTGGACCACAGGCTGAGATTTCTAACTATAAACAAAGGACATGAGTTAGATCCAGACCCTTATTGAACAGCAGTTTTTTATAAAAAGTGAAAAACAATGTTTAGGGATGCATGCATTATATGATGTACAGTAGAGCCTGTCTAAATTAATTATACGTAAAAGAGTACCCCTCATAATTCAATCTATTTCGAGCGACGACTAGTCATTCATCCTAGAACGATATATAATTATTAAAGTACGAGGGTATTTACCCGTCGTTCCGACGGACATGGTTTCATGTTTTTAGTACATATATAGGGGTGTTCCCGTCGTTTCGACCGATAGGTGCACAAATTTGACGCTGACCGTATATTGACTTAGGTAATTAATTAGTTATAAAGGTAATGTGTATGAAGGTCAATGTATACCTGTCGTTTCGAAAGTTAGGGTATCACCCGACGTTTCGACGAACATGGACTGCCTTTTGACCTGTAAAACCCTTAACATGCGTTAGTTAATTAGATTGACTGAGGTTAAAGATGGATATGAAGGTCAATGTGTACTCGTTTACTCGTCAATGTTTCATTTGATCACCCGTCGTTCTAACGGTACGAAGTTGCATATATAGGCATCTTGAACGCAGCGATTTGCTAGGGTGTATTCCGTCAATTCCTCGAATTTAGTACGCGAAGTCTTTGAAAATAGTTTCTTTCTTGAGTTTATATCACGTCGTTTCGATGGAACGCTGCTCGAAGTCGACGCTGCTAGGGTGTGTGCCTGTCGCTCCGACGGAAAGGACGGCGAGCTCTACGCTAATAGCATATTGTGCCATTTAGGGTGTTCACCCGTCGTACCGACGGTGCAAAGTAGGATGTATAGTCACTTTAATCGCAACGAATTGCTATGGTGTTCACCCGTCGTTTCGACGGTGTGCAGTAGTAATATAGGCATCATTTTTACTTTAGAATATCGGGTCGGCTAAGGTTATAGTGATGGGTATAAAACTCAATGTGTACCCGTCGTTCCGTGCATTTTTATTTAATTATATAGCGAGATATAGCATGATGGACTAATGGACTTTACTATACAAATTTCAGTCATGATACCCATTTCTATAGGTGGATGTCCGACAAAATAGATTGCTAGACCTCATTAATAATTCCTTATTAAAATAACAATGATTGAAATGGGCTTACGTTAATGCAAATAAGTAATGGTAATCACCCGTCGTTTCGACGGATAGGTGCACATAATTTGCGCTGCCAGTATTTAAATGTATCACTTTCCTTAGAATATGAGGTTGCTTTACGTAGGTGTGTACCCGTCGTTCCGACAATAGGTGCACAAATTATACGCTGACAGTATTTATATTTGTTACTTTCCTAAGAATATTAGTTTGCTTTACGTAAGTTGTATAGTCTGAAAGTTAATGAAGGTCGGTATATTAAACTATTTAATTCACTTTTGAATTTCCGGTTAAGTCTTTCTGGGGCGTTGTGTACCTGTCGTTCCCACGGAAACAGTAAGCGAAGTCTGTCTTCTGGTCTTCGTACCCATCATATCACTTCTATATACCCGATTCAATAAGGTAAAGGGATGGGCATAAAGGTGGATGTAAACCCGTCCTTTCGTAATGTATATTATCCGGTTGACTCAGATAAGTTAATAAGTATGATGCATTACATTTGAGTCGATTGTAACGGAATCCACTTGAACCTGATCACTACGCTTGCTTTTGCCACGTTGAAGTGTATTAGTTGAGCCCTGAGTCCATGTTTTAAAAAACGAATCGAAAGCATGTGTCTCATCTACTATTTTAAGAAAGCTGTGTTTGATATTGCAATATGTAATGATGAATACGAACATGTATGCGTGCCATCGCTTCGTATATTAGTGTTATAAATAGAAGCATGACATATGGACACTCCGTTATTGAGATCTGCACATGTAATAATTAATACAAATTGCAGAGCCAAAATGCAGAATCAGCCAATCCAAAATTGCAACAAAAACAGAATTTAGCCAATCCGAATGCCGGAAAAGGATCAAAGGGATAGACGGACAGACGGACAGTATTCTTTTATTATATAGATTATTTAGACAGATAATATTGTAACAGATTGGTAATGTACATTAGATTGTCGTTATTATCAATTAATTGCAGATTCCATTTATGGAATTATGTCAATAAATATCTATATATGTAAAAAATTGCTAATTCCACAACACTCTTTGCTAATTTTGCATTCACCGCTAGTAAATGCGAACGACGTAAATTTCAAAGTAAGGGAGAGTGCGGGTTCTGACGCAGTGGTGTGTTCGGATGTCCTTGCACCTATTACACCGGCGTCGAAGTCGGGATTCAAGTACATCGTGACCTTCATAATGATAAAGAGCGGGTATGTAATGATCTAACCACTTCGCAAGAAGCGTATGATTTGTAACATTATAAATCTTACGCTGGAAAAGTCGAAATTGGGCCTTTACATCAATGTTTTAGTGCTGTTGTCAGCCCTAAAAAAAGTCGTAAATCTCATGTCATTAATGCGCTGCTCTTTGTATTTGGAAAACAAGCGTCCAAATTACGTCTACAAAGGGTCTCAGAGCTTGTACATCGCTCTGCGGACTTTCAAAACCTTTATATGGCTACATTTTCGTTCTTTCTCCTAGAAACTATTGACACGGACGAAGGTGACGCTGATACAGTGACAGATAATGAGTGGCATACACTGTCGTCCCTAATTCCGACTTCTGGGTGTGTCACACGTACAACCACAAAAAACAATGTGATCAAGTACTTTGTAAATGAGAGACCTTAAATAAAAATACATACGTGACAAAGTTACTGCAAGAGAAAGGAATCGACTTGGATGATAATCGATGTGTTGAGCGCGCTAACACGTTACGTCCGAGATATCAAGATGTCTTCCGGGACGATGATAAAGGTACTAAGGAGCGACAGTGGTGACGAGTATCGAAACGCTGGAATGGACCGCTTCTGCAAAGCGAAGTCCATCAAGCAGATATACAGTTGTTGAAAGTTGATGTTAAAAAGCATGAGTTCGATTAGCGCCAGCCGTCAATCTGGTCGGAGATAGTCAGTGCAAGATGGTAGTAGACAAGTTGGCCAGCAACCATATGTCGTTGAGACGGTTGGAGCACAGACTTTTAGGAGAACGAGTGGCTAGTAAGAATAAATACAGAATCGTATTGTTCACCTACCGCTTCCTTCTCGCAACACGCATCTTGCCTACAGGTTATGAGCCCAATGGCTGTAGCCACCGAACCGACTACGAAGACACCAGGGGGTGTCCTGCGAGCATCGCCTGGACGCGGCTCGCCAGCGCGTGCGCCCACTGCACCCGCAGTCATAAATGATGGACCCGCTCGCGAGAGCGGGAAGCGAGACGGTAAGATCCTCGCCGCGCTCGCCGCACTCACCGATCGATTGGCGAGCCTCGAGACGTCGCAGAGAGTGCGAGACGAAGAGGAGCGCATGCTCGAGTCCGTGGAGAGCGGCCTGTTCTCCTCGAAACTCGGCGCCAACATGCGCGGTCGACCAATGACGATTGACGCGATTGGAGACGCGGAGGAGAAGACACCGGCGCCGCGCGAGTACCAACGCGCGACCGATCCGAGCGCGTCGAGATTCGCATCGCTCGAGTCACTCCGCGCGCGCAGCATCGCAGCAGCGCGCACCAGCGTATGCGCCACCTCCATGGCGCACGCAGCCTCACCGACGCCGCAACAAGCCGCTCCACCGCAAGCTTATGTGCGCCCGCGCCTCAATGGATAAGGGATGCCGTCGGCAAGCCAGTGTAAGTTGAACATACGCAGGTTCGATGGTACAGAGCTGTACCGCGGACTCGGAAGCGGGTTATTCGACTGGGGGCGCACGTTTCTGCACCCGGTGAGCCTCGCGGAAGCGTCGTGTGGTTTTCGGATGGACCGAAGACGTCAAGGTCGACCTGCTTGGGCACTTTCTTGCCGGCACGGCTGAGAGGTACTATCAAAAGCAGGTCCACACCTGGTGGATGCAGACACCCACACTGGAGTACATTATGAAACAGCTTCTGCGCACATTTAAGACGTCAATTACTGCAAGCCAGGCGATGAAGCTGTTCATGGCCAAGAAAGACGCACGACGCACCTAGGCTGAGCACTTCCTGTATATGGTCGCCGTCAACGAGGCGCCTGGTGGTGCCGACTCGCTTGTTCTTGATAACATCGCCCACCACGCTTCTCCGGAGCTGATGAACGTGATGCGTTCCAAGTATGAACCCACGCGAGTCGACTACCTGCTCCACGCCGAGGAGCTGGCGCATTTCGCGCAGTCCATTGAGCATGGCAGTAGCGCAGTGGGTCGTGAGGTCGTCGCCGTGCACGTGGAAGGCAAACCCAAGAGCGCGATCACGTGCTACCAATGCGGGCGATCGGGACACATCGTGGCTGACTGTCGCGCGCGTGTCGTGCACGACGACGAGACACCCGCAAAGGGCGAAGGCGCCAGAATGATCCTCGCGCTGACCGAGAAGCGTATTGCGCCCACGAAGAAGCGCAACAGGAAGAAGAAGGGCTCTCGCGGCAAGGAAACTGTAGCGAGCAATGCAAGAGACAGAGCGCGAGCCATGGACGACTCATGCGGCTTCGTGCTTGCAACGAGCGACGTAGCACGATCCACGGGCGCCGACCGAGAGAACTGGATCCTCGACAGTGGGGTGAAGCAGCTAGAGGCATTTCTCGCTCACTTCGAGAAGCTCTTCGGGTTCAAGATCAACGTACTCCGCACAGATGGCGGCGGCGAATATGCCAACGTGGACCTATTCTGAG